TTTTAGGCAATACTAAGTTCTGAGCATGGCCACAAGTTCTGCAAACTGTGCCAAGTGCGTGGTTACCTGCTTACTCTGATCTCCGCTGAGCTACATGGTTCTTCAAAAATTAAGTAAAGCGTTCAGGGCAGAGCCATATGGACGGGTACTGCAATCAGTAGAACTGAAGGCCTGAACTCCACAGGTGGAAGCGGAGTTCATGGCAACATTGCAGTCCACTGACAGTTGCATTGCTACAAGACGGGAGAGGCTCTCTGGCATCACTGGTGGCCACTGTCACGGTAGCCACAAGAAACCCCCTGAGACTTTTTGGAGGAGGTTAAGAAAGGATTCAGTTTTCCTCTGTTAAGTTTTGGGCAGTGACAAATGTTTTTATTCAGAGGTAGGATTATTTTTATAGTCTTCTCTGTTGATTTACTTGATATCACTAAGCAGGGCTGGCTTTGTGAGACTGCACAACAGGGTGATACACACTGGAGTAGGGTAACAGTGGCACCCATGGCAAAATGGCATAAGGACCCCTTAGCTAGCTAAGTAGGCAAAGGTGAGGTGATTCCATGTACCTCAGAATCTTCAAACCTTATCACTTTCTTTGATTATCTTCCTTTTGAAATATTTTTTGTCAAGAAAGTAATGGTTTAGAGAAATAAGGATATATTTGCCTTTTTCCCATTCTTTCACTTGGCGTCAATTCCCAGACATGTCAAGATAGCTCAGCAGGTGGCACCGAAGATAATACAATCTTACCAAGTCAGTGGCATCAATTGCTACATCAGCTATTGCTTATGATTGTCTTGCTTGGGATAAGTCTTGTCTCATGGAAGATGCTGGCCACTACTCAGACTCCTTACAGTCATGCCATGGCATGAATGACTGTGACTCAGCAGTGCCAGCAAGAGATTATATTGCTTAGTTTTCTTTTGCTAGAAAGCACAGTGCCTGCCTTCAGGCTACTTCTCTTGTCACAGTACTCAATACCACAGTCAGCAATGGTGTCAGCTTTATGGATATTTGGTGCCACAAAGCTGTGCTAAGGGACCCCAGAATGATTAAGAATTGAAGCCAAGAGTATAAGGGTTCAGATAATGCCACACATCACAAGACTGCCTGATTGATTTCTAAAACCATTTGGATCCAAAGCTATACTGTAGCCACAGTAGATTTTTTTGTGGGTTTTGTTTTCTTAATGTATAATTCCTATGTAATTTTTATTTTCTCTAATATGTCTAGTAGCTCTGAGTCCTCTAAAGGCAACAATGTGCTGGCAGAGGCTCTTGGGAACCATTGGTTAAAATTCTGCTGCCAACACGATGAGAGCTTTAGGATAATTTCCTGGACTGGGAGATCAGCTCATCTCTGAATACAATCAAAGCTGCCAATATGTATCTATTGTGCCTATTTTGACACACGTAAGGACCACATACAAGACTAAGAATAGCATCACTGCTGACAAGAAAAAAACAGACTCTGTGCCACCTACTCATGATGACTATTGTACACACAGATTCATAACTCTAAATCTCAGGAAAACAAATCTTGCTGGTTTTGGATAACAACTTTGTTAAGAATAAATTCACTGAAGGAAATGGAAAACTGTAATTAATATTCTATCAGCATAGATCAGAGATGAGATCTAGGGCAGTATGTGTGATTTCTTTTCCTGGAAACACCCTGAAAGAACCCAGTTTTTCAGAAGGCCGGTGATTTGAACCTCAGCTTTCTTTCATACACCTAAGCTTTAAAATACTAGTTACTGTAGAAATCATGTATTTGGTCTCTAATACAATTAATCCAGGTCTTTTGCAAGCAAGCGTGTCAATGAAGTTCCTAAGCAAAACCTAGGACAAGTCTGTTCGAAAAGTCAGATGTAAATGTCAGGTGAGCAGATCCATGCTTGCAAGGGCAGCAAACACCAACTTTTAACATTTAAAGTGCTTTTAAAGGAGAGGAAGGGAAAAAAAAAAGAAAGAAACATTTTTCCTGTTGTGTTTTTGAAGGTCATGCTTTCCTCCATTTACAACTGTTGATGGTTGGTGGGTATAAGCTGACTAAGCTTTATTGTGGTTATCGTCTCAGGCAGCAGAATTTAGTCATATGAGCAACTGAACAGTACAAGGCATGAACAAATTCTGAAAAAAGTATTCTAAAATCAGCACAGATACTCTGCAGGTAAAGCATTCATTTGCTCAGTAGTTATACCCGTAAGGCTTTGGACATTAGAACTTGAGTAGCACTTGAGTGTTTTCAAAGTGCCTAATGGCTTGGGACTATGCACTAACTTGTCTCAGTGTGATAAAGTCTTTCCTGATCTATACAGGCACCAAAACCAAGCATGACAATTGTAACACAATAGTTAAAACCACAGAACCACCCTGCTCTTGTTACAAGTGGGTGGACAGCTTAAATCTGTAGCCTTTGATATCCGGGCTTGCACTTACACTTAGTTAACACACAAGTTAATTCTTAAGACTTTAAATCATTCGTTTAATTTAAAGATCTACTGGTTTATGTGAGCTGCTTAGCTGCCCTCGCAGTGTACTGAGGCTGGCTGTTGGCAAGCAGGAATATCATCCTTCTCCTATCTCTTTCCTAGGCATGCCTTGGTCCACTGAAGATATTCTGATGCCACCCGCAGGAGGACGCAGGTACTTACAGCATCTCTCTGCCCTATTAAGAGTGCTTTAGCAATACTAGCAGGTAATATTAGCAAGCAGAGGAAACGCTAAGGCATGTAGCTGTGTGGGTACATAACTACAGGGTGAGATTCGAGCCCTTATAGGATCCGTGCCACAGAACGAGAAGTATTATTTAAGTGTTGGAGTGTAAGATAAAGAACAGAGAGCTCACACTTCATCCGGACTCAGCTAAACACAGATGGAGGTTAGATCCTGCTCCTTCTCACAGTCCCCTACTGGAGGTTATCCCACTGGTAAGTTCCAGCCTACAGCTAGACCACAAATACATTTTGTGGAAGTCTTGCCAAAGTCACAGATTCATGAGGTCTCCCTTATTCCTGCAGGGCATGCTGTGTTTCTTGCTGTTTTCTAGAGAGCCGAGCTAAACATGAAGCATCCTGGTGTGCAAGAGGCTGTTAGCAGGAAGCAGCTCCAGTGAGCTGTCACAGCTCCCAGCCATGACACAGCATGCAGAATCTAGGAGTCAAGCAGCCTTGCCCAGCAGTTATTCTGGGACAGCCAACCTGGCTTTGTATTAATACACAGTTTTTTCCTGGAGGCTTCACCCATGCATTTCTGTGCAATATGATTCTGCTGTTATTAACCTATAAGACTTGTGAGATCCAAGTAAAACTAAGGGAAATCTTGACTTCCTGGAGAACTTCATTAGCTTAGTGGTTATGCTATTATGTACTGGGTGCATAAGGGAAAAAAAAATCACAGCTTTACAAAAACAGTAACAGAGAAGAAGTAAGCAGAAAAGACAAGGGAAATTATACTGTTTGTTGTATTTAGATGAGTTTTGTGTAATTCTTACTGTACTATAAAAGTAATTTATGTTTATTTCTGTGAATGTATAAATAGAAAGGCTAATCTTTGATTTTAATGCTGTGAAGAAATTACTAATCAGCAGGATCTTTTGCATAATATGCTCTGTAAAATGCTGTGTTTTGTTGCACGTTATCAGCAGTTTGAAAAAAATCAGGTTTACAATGTATAATTCTAACATTTGCAGCAGTATCATATTGAAGTCGCTAATCAGAGAATCAGGGGGCTGACAGAAGAGTTCAGCTACATCTCAAGAGGTGACTCTTACCATTTTTAATTTGGAAAACTTGTGATGAGTGTTCCTGGTTTGGGCTAGCAAATGTGTTTGCCTGCCTGTTCTCTGTTTGATGCCTCACACTGCTCAGGAGCAGTAGTCCAGGATTTGCCAGCTCAGAAAACACCTGGCATCAAGTTCATAACATAAGACTGACTTGTTTCTGTCTTGCACTCCTTCCCTTTCCTGAAAAATTTTCATCACTGGAGGTACCCTTTTTTCAAAATTATTTGTGTTTATATCTTTATGCCTGTTTGGGGGATGACTGCAGCATCTGTATCTCAGTGGACACGCTCTGGGAGCTCTATCATTTTTAAATTGGTGTGTCTCAGATGGATCTATGAATTTTTATCTTCATCAGATTCTTGTGAGGTAGGGAGAGGAAATTAGATTATACAGGTGAGGAGCTATGGCAGAAAGATGCTATATTCCACAAATATTTGGGGATTTGTTTAACTGACAAGTGTAAATCCAATTCCCTGCGTAATCTGAGGATTTCTGGGAAGCCAGCCAGATTTTTCACAAGAACACACTTCGGCATTGACACAGTTGCTCAGTAGATCAAGAACTGAGTGGCTGCCATAGGTAGGCAAAGTCAAACAGTGAATCCTGATATCCCAAGTCCTTGAGCTGTTTTTTGACTGTAAGAACTCTCTTTTCGCTTAGTTGGGGCCATCCTATCCGTTCTCCCTGTTAGGACATCTAGCGAGGCACTGCAGAGTCAGCAAGAACCCCGATGCCAGGGGGAGAGTGGCCCCTCAGCAACCACTCAAGCCTGTTTCACTCTCGCAGGCTGGCACTGCTGCCTCCCCGGCTTGTGGGCATTTGTGCTTCTGCCGGCATGTGGGTGTTACAGCCCGAATTTAACCTAACGCTCAACTTGAACCATTCGGCTCATCGGAAATACTGGTTGGACTTAGTTAACTCCATACTGGCGGCCGCTCAGCAGTGCAAGCAAATCGCTTCTCCTCCCCAGGTGTGCTGAAATGGCACCAGAGAAAAACTCGGTGCTCCCAGCTCGGAGGGCAGAGATGTGCACGGGAAGCCCGGAGCATCCCCGGCGCCCCCTCCGTGCCCGCCGCCCCCCGCAGGGGGCGCTGCCGCGGGCTCCGCGGGCTCCGCGGCTCCGGCACCGCGGGGCCGGGGCGGCTCCGAGCGGGGGAGCGCCCGGCGCGTCCCGCCCTCCTGCCTCCTCCCTCTGTCCCCTCCCCTCGGCGGCGGCGGTGGAGCTGCCGGGCTCCCTCGCTTTTCTTCACATGGGGCTCGCCCTGCGGGCGGGACAGCGCTCCTGCTCTCCCGCCGACCGCTGAGAGGGACCCGGCGCGGGCGGAGGGGTCTCGCCGCCACCGGCGGGCAGGTAGGGGCGGGAGGCGCTCCCCGAGGGAAGTCAGGCGGCGGCGGGACGGGGGGGACGGGCTGTGGTGCCCCGGCGGCCGGTGCCGGTCGCGGAGCGGAGCGGGGCGCACGTGGAGCGGGAGCCTCTCATCCCGCCCTCCTCCCTCCTTCGGCGCCCGCGCTTCGCCGGGGTCTTCCCGCCGCGGCTTCGTCGTGGTCGCGGGACCCCCGCCGGTCACTTGTGGACGCATCGCGGGTGGATTCTCTTCCCGGGTGCCGCGGGGAGCTGCGCAACTTCGGGGAGGAACCCGGGCGGGGACGCCGGTCTTCCCCGTTCGCCCAAAGGGAATGGAGTTTAATTAAAGAGCTGTGGATCTTCCCCTGCCCGTTCCATCTTTTAGCTGTCGGGAGAACAGGTCCGTTATTTGTGAAATTATTTTATGTCAGTTTAGGTCTTGTTTCTTTTTTTCCTGTACACTATCAAATACTGAGTGCTGATGAGATTATTTTCTGTAGTTAGTAGATTAAACACAGGACGAATTCCGTATGCTGTTAAAGTGAGCGTTATGGGTTTGCCGAGTTCATATAATCTTATGTTCTCATAGCTCAAAATAAACCTTTTCATTAAAAGGGAGAAAACTGGATTCAGTTTTCGCAGCTTTTGATTGATGAGAGCTCCCTCGTGGAAATCAGCAGGGAGTTTTGCTTGATTAAGAGCTGCAAAATTTTCCTGAGGTTTGTTACACAACTGGCTGTAGTTGTGCAGTACGTGCTCAGTTAGGTAACTTTGCATCTGGGTCTTGTTTTCACTGGTCCAGCTGAAGTACTTTCAAGTTAGATTAGATTCAGTGCTCCTCTTTAAGCCCTCTCCGCTAGACGGGTCCAGGGGAGCGGAAGGATTTTTTTACCTGCTTCAAAGAAGAGTAAACTTGTGGGTTAAAAAGAGAAGCAGGTGACACTCATTGGAGATAGCGATTGCAATTTAGAAATGCTCCGTGTGTTTTGCTGGCAGTGCCAGGTCAACTGTTTTCATCCTGGAAGTGTTTTATTTTGCTTGTGTTGCTGTTGAGCCTCAGAAGCTCTAGTCAAGGACCAGGGACTCAGCTGTAATAGAAGATGTACAGGCATGCATGTAATCACAGTCTCTCACCAAAAAGCATGCTTTCTGGTGTGGTTATGCAGAAATGTTACAGAAAACAGAGCATTGCTCCTCAAAAAGCTTGGAGGTTGCAATTTCCACACTTGTGAGCTGACTATTCAGTTACTGCTGTTCTGTTTTTTTTCTGTGCTGCTAAAATACCTGACAGTAAGCAGTTTACAGAATCTAGTCAGTAGTTTGTGGAACTTTTGTTGTTGTTGCAGCTGTAAGAGTTCTGTCAAATTGTTTGGGTTCTTTTTTAAAGCATGAAAGTAAGTAAAACAAAATGGAAACTTCCTTGCATTTTAAGTGGCAGCAACACAGGATCAGACTTGGTGAGGGTGGAACAAACAAAACCCAGTGCTTTTCTTTGTGCTGTAACTATTTTCAGGTAAGAAAACCTCCTTTGGGATGGCATTTCACAAGTTTGTTCTTGGTTCCTTGAAAATTCAGGTGGCGAAGGTCTGATCAATCTAGCTATTCAAGCGAGGAAAAAACATTGTGGTGTGGTCTGTGGAGTTCAAATGCACATGACTGGAAAGCTACAAACAGCCTTAAAGTAATCCTTTGTGAGGCAGGAACTCAGGCATGTGCTGAACAGCTTTCCTAAGTTAGGACAATAGGAAACAAATTGTGTATCACTAAAGTTAAAAGTATTCAAGAAAGCTGTTAATAACATTCAAAAGGAGGTTCTTAATATACATGTGAAAAGCATTATCAGTTTGTGTAGCTCAGCAGTCACTCTGTAGCTGAGCTATCATGTTTAACTGTCCATCTTCTAATCTTTGGGGGGAGATTTTTCTCAAATAGGGTGCTTAAACGTACCCCAGTTTGAAACACTGAACTAAGGTGAATTACTGTAAGTAATTCTGCTCAAGAGATTGGACATTTGCACCTTGGACTGAAAAATTACCTTCTTAGCAGGTGCCAAAGCTTGGAGCTCTCCATATGCAGAGAAGCTAATGGACTATACATGGTGGTGGTACGTGTTCAGTGCTGGTTTATAGGAGACATTTCTTTGACAGCTATCACTCATATATCACAATTGCTGATTTGTCTTCATGGGGTGGGTTAGGAAAGTACTGTGGATGTGGACAGACTAAGTGCCTTGCCGAGTTGCTCGGGAAGTTTGAAAGACCAAGATGTTGAAGCCAGGTGGAAAAAGGCAATCAAATGACTGGCAATCTTATCTGGGTTGTCTGCCTTTTTTGCTAGAGATTGTTTAAATTATGTTATAAAATACATCTATTTCTAGATATTGCATTCAATGGTTGGCTGACAACATTCAAAGTTTAAAAAATGTTTTTCTATTATATGCCTTTGTGTGTCTTTGTATGTACGTGGTGTTTGGTAGGCATTGGTATTTTATTATGCTGTCATAGCTTCCCTTTTCCTAGGTTTATTATTTTAATGTTTTAAAATCATGTAGTAGACTCCATGTAAAAACACTCTGTTAATGGACTGTTAGAGTGGTGGAATTTGAATGCGAGATAGCCAGTGGTCAGCATTATGGTTCCTGATGCAACCATTAGTCAGCAACACTTTGCATAAATAGCCAACCTAAAATTTAATGTATCTTGCTGGAAGGGTGACTTTAAGCAAGCAAGAAGTTCTAACTTGATGATGAAGGATACATGCCTACAAAGAGCTGTGCTGAGGTTGCTGTGAAAATGGTAGGTTTGGGGTTTAAGCATTTGTGACTCAAATTTTAAGTCCACTTTTGCTCTTAAAAACCGCAACTTGCAACTTTAAAGAGCAGCTAAATGTTTTCAGGTTTTTTACAAGATACCTGACAGCAAAACCTGCATTAGTAAGGCACGGCTGCTCCGAGGAGCTCCGCTTTTGTCTTTGCTGGTGCAGTTGAATGTGCCACCAATGCTAATTGATGTCAGAGACAGGGGTTTATTCAGTGTAGATTCAGTTTTCTGTGGCCAAAGACCCTCATGTTTTCTCCCACTAATCAGCCATTTGTAGTTTCTGTCTTTAAGAAAACGAAGTTGTGTTGATTTGCTTCTGCTTATGCTTTTGTGCTGCAAGCACTACACAGCTGTGAAATTCCCATCTAGCTCTGATTCAGGAACGTATTCTTCCAAGTGGTGTGCATGTCCTCAAACAGCTTTGATTCTCAAAGACAGGTAAGTGGCATTTGTGGCCTAGAAAAAGCTGCACAGAGATAAGAGGAGCTACATGCATGCTTAAAAACTAGCACATGCCCAAGTGTTTTGGTGAATAAGCTTGAATGCTTTGCTGAATCACAGCTGTGAGTGTGCAGAAACACTGTACCTACAGCGTCTGCTGCAGCTGAGTACAGTGCTTGGAATGGATTTCAGGGCAGGTGTTCAGAGACCATCCAAACACCAAAAACGAACTAGGAGTGGGATCGTACATACTACAGACAGGAATGGAAACATAACATTGCAAGTGGCTTTACTGGAAGTTTTAGCAGGACTTATCTCTTTCTCTCCAGTACTCAAATACAGAGTGAAACCTGATGCAGTAAATGACCCAATTCCCACTGATTTCCTTTAGAAAATGATTATACAAAGGGTGTGTCCAAGTAAACTGCCTTGGGAGTTCTACCCGTGGCCTGCAGAAACGGTGTGATTTGCCCAACAATGACGTTTTTGTGTCAGTCCCTTGGAACTGATTCGATAAGCGGGACTAGCGCTAAGTATGTAAGTCCCGACCCCTTCTTCCTTGGATTACTGTACCCGAGACCTCCGAGGGCAGCGGTGTCGCGGGCGGGGAGCGAGGCTGACAGCTCTCGCCACGCCGAAGCCGCGCCCGGGCTGTCCCTGTCCCTGTCCCCGCCGGAGGGAGCCCGAGGATCGGCGGAGCGCGGCGGCGGCGGCTCTCTCCACTCCGCGCGGGGATCCCGCCGGGAGTGCGGGGCGGGGACGCTCATCCCGACTTGCCCGATCCGTTCCTCCGGTAGGGCACATCCTGCGCGCCCTCTCGTTCGCAGCGAGGGGCTGCTTTACGTCGGTCTTTTTGTGGTGTCCTTCGACAGCAAAGTCCTTTCATCGTGCGCCTGGTTATGAATAGAAGCTGGTCTGACCAGGAGATTCCTTTCCTAACTTAGCTCGTTGCCCTCCCCCGCCCCATTCTTACCACTAACCTTTCCTGCTTTGCCCACCCAGGCCCTCCAAAGCTGGAAGTAAAATGGCTGTCAGTTTCTTTGGTAGCCTGATTGAAGGGAGTGCAAGAAGCACTTCAGGATGGGGTGGTAAGAGGACCCTTGGCCAGACCAACCTTTTCTAGCTAGAACAGTGATTCCCGGCTGTAGCCACCCATGTGACTTTGATTCCTCATTTATTGTCAATAAATTTGTAATTGACATAGGGGGAGTACCTACAGCATTTCATGTACTAATTAATGACTGTGGTTCACAGATCAGCAAGGTCTGGAACTGTTATAGGTAGGGTAGTATGGGGTGAGATTCCCTTTAGTTGAACAGTGGACAAATGGAAAGCAAGCGTGCCCTAAGCAAGAGAAGTTTTCTTGGTGTAAAAGACTATGAGCTGTTGAACTGCTTAGGCATGACAACTGTGCCAGTTAATCCATGCTTTTCTAAGCTACTGCCTTCTCTAATTTCCTCCTGTGAATTATTTGCTGCGAATTGATTGCTAAATGTTACATGGATTGTCAGTAATCAGGTGGCAAGACAGATGTTCACTGTACATCTGTAGAGGGCAAGACAAGGTGGCAAAAGCCAATCATTAGGCTATGGGGTGCAGCTTGGACATGGGTAGTATTTGGAATTAATTTCTAACTCTTTTTTGACAGTTTACTTGAGGGAGTTTCTCCTCCTGCATTATGTTGTCTAGAGCCTTCAGGCAAGATTGTTGTCTTTAGTCACTGTGACTGCTTGTCACTGTGGCTCA